CCCCCCCCCCCCCCCCCCCGATGTTGGATGGGGAAATTTCGAAGTACGTGGATATACTCCAAGGAGTCGCACAGGGCTGTACGATGTCACCCACTCTTTTTAAGATTTACATCAACGATTTGATAAGGGCGGTTGAAGCAGTAAGACAGGGAGTCCAAGTAGGGGGAAAGAGTGTGTCCGGACTGATGTTTGCAGATGATTTCGTGGGGGTACCAGAAGGGTTGCAAGAACAGATAGATGCGGCGGTAGGATACACCCGATAATGGAGACTGTCGGCGAACGTAGGAAAATGCGCAGTAGTGGTCTGTAACCAAGACAAGAAAAATCCCGTAGAATTCAAATGGAAATGGGGGGAGGAAGAACTACCGGTAGTAGACAAGTATACGTACCTGGGAGTAGAGATTTCGAAGGAGTGCTCATGGGACGCACACATAGCATAGTTGATTGGGAAGGGTAAAGCTCAGATAGGCAAGATGGACGAGATCCTTACGGACCCACACCTAGACACTAGGATTAAGAGGTGTATTCTCTTGAATGTGATTGTACCTAAGCTAGAGTGTGCAGGAGAGGTATGGGAAGGTAACGAAAAGGCCGTCAAGCAGCTGGAAACGGTGCAGATGGCAGCGGCCAAGAAAATATTAGGATGTTCAAGTACAACGAGCAACACTGTATTGAGAGCAGAATTGGGAATGTACTCTCTTAAAACAAAGAGAGACATGCAGAAGTTGAATTGGCAGTACAAGGTAAGTAGAATGTCGGACGATAGACTACCAGCCATGGTTGACAAGGCAGCTTGGGGAAAAGCGACTCCAGGGAAGAAGGGAATCAGATGGGACAAGGTGGTAGAGAAGGTTTGGAAGGAGACGAGGAGGAGACGTTGGACACGGAAGGGTTCGGGGGGTTCAAGAAGAAAGTCAAGGAGATGCTAGAAAGTAGGGAGGAGGCAACCCTTCGGAAGAAGGTACGAAGCGAAGACCACTTGGAGATATACGGGAAGTTGAAAGAAGGGATAGGGATGAAGACGTACTTGGACGGCCCCATGGACTATGCGAAAAAGCTGAAATTGCAATTTCGAGTAGGCGATCTGGACTTGCCAGAACGGAGGAAGAGGTATACCAGCCGTAGGAGAGAGGAAGAGGAGGATAGACACACATGTCCATGTGGCAAATCGGAGGAGAGTAGACCCCACATAGTTGGGGAGTGTGAGTTGTACAGGAAGGAAAGAGAGGATCTCGAGGAGGAAATGAGACAGAGAGGGTGTGACATGGACAAGTTTGGTAAATTAGACAACAGCGAAAAAACGATCGCGATAATTGGGGATAGATGGTGGGCACAAGAGGCCCTAGAGGACGGGGATAAGATGTGCAAGAAATTTTTATGGAGTTTGTGGCAGAAACGTAAAGAGCTCCCAAATGTTGGTGGTGTCTCTAGTAGGTGTAGGAACGGTGCTCCGTCTCGAAAGGGACGCGTGGTCAATGGTCAAATGACTACGGCAAGCAACAAATGAGTACGCCCCCCCCCTCCCCCCCCCCCCCCCCCC